TGATCTCACTCTAATGAGCTGAGGTGAGCTCACCTACAGCATTAATGAACTGGCCCGCCAACTGGAAAAGGCCAGCTGATTTCGCTCACAGCTCCCCAACAGCATGTTTGAAGTCTCCGTGCAAACAATACACCCACAGGACAGTCCAAGGCGCTGCTGTATGGAGGCTAACCAGCAATTACTGTGTGGGCTTCTGTCACTTTGATCTCTGGGTCGTGACCTTTGCTTTCTTGTGATCATCAAAGCCGAGACTGCAGATTAGCTGGGGAATGTTAGCTGGGTTATATAAGCCACAGGTTTTACAGCTCCCATTTAGTGGGAAACAGCCTTGGGTGGTAGCCCAAGGTGGCCCCAGACACCACCGGAGGGTCCCTCCCACCTTCCTTTTGGTGGAGTGCTACAGACACTGGGCAGGCCTCAGGGCTGCTGCCTACCAGGGAACAAAGAAAAGGCATCATATTTTAAATAATTTAAAGTTTTAAGGAATACAGAGGGACCTGCTTGGTGTGTGTGTGTGTGTGTGTGTGTGTGTGTGTGCAACCAGAGCCCTGAAGGAACAGAAATTGAAAGAAAACGCACACCAGAGCGAGTCACAAAAGAACAGCCCCAAGCCTGGGAGCCCAGATTTCTTATTTGAAAGGTGACATTGAGCATTTATTCTCTGTTGACTTTCAGCCATCATTCTTCCTGAAGAAAAAGGGGGAAAAAGTCACGAAAGTGTTATCATCTAGGGGTCTTGATGGGTTTGTTTTCTCTGCCAGGTAGAGAATTAGAAGGCAGGAAATATCTGGAGCGAGACAGGTAGAGGCAGAGAAATCTTGCACACAGCAAACAGGAGCAGGACAGAATGAGCAACTGAAGACAGGCTTTTATCGGGGTGAGGAAACGTGCATACAGCAGCAGGCACATTGAGAAAAAGATCCTCCACAAGGCAGAGGGACTTGGGAAGCCACAGCCCAGGCTTTAAGGGTTTTAAGGGTCTTTGAGGGGAGTCTTTCTCCCCTAGTTTAGGCTGGTCAGTTTGAACACAGGCAGGAAGACTGATAGATAGGTCCATACCTTTGGGGTAAGCATGTCTTGACATGGCTTGAACTTGTCCATAGGCCGGGCATCATGGTGGTGGATAAAAAGTCTTTGTTTGAAGCTGACAGGCTTTCGGCTCGGGTCAGGAGTATGAGGAAGAAGCTGGCCATCTTGGAATTTCATCCATCTATTATCTGGTCATGGCCCTGCTCTCTGTCGTTTGTCTGTCTACAAGGAAATGTGTCTATCTCCTGGTCCCTCAAAAGAACTGCCAGGAAAGACAAAGGTAAACTATTCTGAGTGTCCAGATCTCCCGCCCTGACTTACTACGTTGATGTTGGGTGGTGTCATAATCTGCAAGAGGCCCAAGTTCCTATCCAGTCAACACTCCTCCCAGAACAGCAGCGCTGTGTCCATACGGGGAAACACGGGTGGCTTTAAGGTGATAAGGTGGCCATGGCCATGTCTCAGCCATGAGCCATGGGAGATGGCAAGGGGAACCCTGGACATAGTTCCAGGGCACTGCTCAACCACACAGAGGCATGTTCATGTTCACAGAGAAAGGCAGGGAGCTTGTTTAACTGTGGGGATGTATGACAAGAAAATCCAACTGGGCACACAGGGGTTAGTTAACTGAGGAAACCAAAGGGGCGGGGCTCTGGGGCAAAAGGCAGACAGATAGGACAGACAGCACACTGTACACAAACCTAGTCACTTCCCACCCCAGGTCTGGTGGTTGGCCACAACACAAACTACATCTGAGCTGAAACCTTTAAAATCAACATCTCCCATGGGAAGGAAACAACACACATGCTTGTTTTGATGGACAGCTAGGTGACATAAATATTGCATCATGTGACCACAGAGGACGCCAATCAATAGGATTATTTTTTTCAACAGCACTAAATGAACCACATTCTTGCTTCTGAATTCACTCCTTTAAGGCTCCCACTATTGCTTAAATGATTAACAGGAGAAGTATTGTCAGAAAATATACTTAAGGTGAAAAACAGTAAACTGTAGAAATATCATTCACTGCTTAAGCCATTTCCTAGCAAAAAATGTCATATAAATTTACATAGAGTCTCCACTATGACGATCTAGGTAACAGCCAGAAAAAAAGTAGACCTCACACTTTGTGGATGAAGAGGCATGAAAATAGTTTACCCAACTCAGGGAAGGCAGCTAGCTGTACCTCTTTGTATAAATGCATATGCCACAGGAACTCTGAATTCGAAGTCATATTGTGAAACCCTACAGTTTCTCAGGGGTAAGTGAATCATCCCCCCTCCCCCAGGATAAAGAGAGTAGAGCCCTGAAAGACCACAGAGCTGAGCAGCATCTGGCCCGCATCTTCCTCTTCCAAAGGCAAGGGTGAGTACTTAGCAAGTCAACAATAAAAAAAAAAATGAATACAAGATTTAAAGACATTAGAGAACCGACCTAGCGCTTTCCCCTATGATGTAGTGAAGGTGTAACTAGGTAGGAACACAGTTACGGTCTCTATGGTCCCTGGTTGCTGCCTTTTCTCCAAGTGTGAGGAGCTAGCAGTCACTGTGTAGATGACTTATGGGGTTTCAAAGGCAATTGTGGCTAGATGTGATTTGGGCTGTGTGTGAGCTCTAGAATCCAGTCCCTCATGGCAACATTGTCATAAATAGACTAACAAACAGCCTTCTCAGCTCCATCTCTCACAACTTGCCAACAGCACAGACCTGGGATGGGAGGACATGCTTGGGGGACCGCCCAGGTGAATCCCTGAGAAGGACTGCTCGTGTAGAGACAAACCCTCTGCAAAAACTGTCACCCATGACTAAGGCTTGGATTGAGTCGGAATGACAGCTGCTGCTTGCTGACTGGATCTGGTACCAAAAGGGCAGGGAACGTGACAGGACTCGAGGTCCCTGTGGCCACCTATAAATAGACAGCTCTAAGAAGGCAGAGTGACTCCAAACATCTCCAGGATAGTCATCCAGCCACGTTCCCATGCTAAACATGACTTTAGGTTTGCATTAGGCTTCAAGAGACAGGGACTTCATCCTTATTCACTGGTAACTGTTCTCTCCATGTGGACAAGTCATAGTAAGAGAAATATGTATGGTGGGATGCATAACTTGGAGTGAGACAGTAAATCCAAGCATGGGTTTAATCCCAAAGGAATCATAGATCCTGAGCTGACTCAGAGTCATTTAAGGACCACTGATCGAGACAGTCACCCCTGCTTTAGAAGAAGTCTTCCTGTCAAAATGGAACTCCACATTAGGTTTTCTAATCTCACTGCTTGTACAGTGAATCTTAGTATTCTTCATCAATCTGACCAGCTACAAAATCAACAATGAAGTATTTGCTTTTCTCCTCCATTTATACCCCTCTAAGCCCTATATCTGAGACCAAATAGAACAAGGTAGAAGCAGAAGTCCTCTTTTTCTCCCCGCCTCCATTCTAAAAGAAGAAAACATCTATGCTTGTGCTCACACGCCGTGTTTGGTCACATGAACGAATAAGTGGACATGTGTGAATGTGTGAGTACACACACACACACACACACACACACACATGTGTAAATAATACAATGCATATTCATACATGTGTAAAAGTTATATGTGCTTTATGAATGGAACAAAAAATATAAAGAAAAACATCAGAAAGTAAAGAGGAAATTTTTAAGCAATGGTTTATGAAACATGATTACTAGATAAACTCTTTTGGAGTTGACCTTCCAAGATACATTTTAAAATTTCTTCTAAGATATAAAAGAAATCTAGGTGCCTACCAACAGGTGAAAGGGTAAAGAATATATATTTGCAGAAAATTGAGTATTTAGCCACAAAGGAGAACAAAATCATGCTGTCTGCAAGGAAATGCATAGAACTAAAGGTCATTACATGGAGCAAAATAAGCATCGCATGTTATACGTGGAAACTAGAATTAAACAACAGCAACAAATACTATCTCCAGGAGTGGTAGAGATAAAGGTAAGTGGACCAAAGGAAGCTGGGAGAGTTAGATAGCATCAAAGAGTAATATATATATATGAAAATATCACAATGAATCTCATTAATGTGACAATTAATATTCACTGAGAATTATAATAAAAACAAAAAGGCAATTCTGAAAAAAATGTTGGTATAAGAAGGTACTGTGTTTAAAGTGACCCCTTCACATACTTTGTATCAGTCAGACAATTTCATAATTCAAAGTTAAAAAAGAATGTTCCAGAAATCAACTCACTTCTAAGCAATTAAACAACTCAAAGTGAGGAATCAGAAATGTGTCCTGGCTGGATGACAACTGTATTCCCCCTATCAGAGGTCACACTCAAATCTATAATATTATGCCATGGTTGAATTTTTTTCCTAATGGGAAAAGACCTTCATGAGTATTTTTTTCAAGCAGGGTTCTTATTTGTTCTGAGTCAATATAAGAATAGCCTCAAAGCTCTACAAAATTAATCATGAAGCTTTGAAATGAGCTAAAGTCACAAAATTCTTCTTTATAGAAATCCAACTGAATCCCCCCTGCCTTATGTTATTTATGTCCGGGTGTTGGCCTTCTTTTTCCTCACAAATCTGTAATAACTTTCCGTGTTTCTTACAGGTTTGCCTTGATACGCAGTGATTATCCCACTACATTTCTTTGTAGGTCACCAGATTTTTAAATAAACCCCAGTAGGACAAGTCCTTCTCAAACCATTTTCCTCTTTTCTCAGCCCTTCCAGAGCTGTGTCCCAAGAGCTTGTAACTTGTAAAACCTAAAATGCGTGTGAGCTAGGCCATGATGAAAAACATTTCTCAGGCCCCGATCTCAAGCAGCTCATATCCTTTCTCGGCTCCTATGAACCCAGCCGAAAAAGAAAATGACTCTGGTTCGGAAAGAACAGTTTAACCCCATCATGGGAAGTCTGTGGCCACTAATCAACATCTACTCGGCAGCCCACAGTATTCCACGCCCAGAGTCTCCTCTTCCTTAACGCTCACCTGTATCGCTTATAATCTTCCTCATCCTTCTCCAAGCTGACCAGCTCATTGGGACATGCCACGTTTCCCAGCAGGCTGAGGTACTCCAGGGCTGGTGTCACCTGGGCCAGGTGGTCGAGGAGGTGCTCCAAATCAGTAATGTGTCAAAGGTTAAGGATCGTGCTCTCAGAAAACAAAAGGCTTAGCAAGAAGCTGGGGCCCTGAGTGACAGGCCAGGCGATGGGAGTCAGTTCCACATCACGCTACCAAAACACCCGACAAAGCAACCTGAGGAGAGACAGGAGTTACTTTAGCTCACAGTGTCTGAGGTTCCACCACCTTCCAGAAGCATCACTTTTCGGATCACGCCTTTGGGGAGCACGTGCGAACTTTTATACTATAAAACACCCATCTAAATCGTAGCACAAATGTATCTCAACTCCTCAAAACAAAATCAATTTTCAGTCAATCATGCTAAAAGATGGAATTGTCATTCTATGCTCTCTATAGAAAACATCACAAATGTCTTTATGTTGTGAAGCTGTAAGGGAATTTGCAAGAAATAAGGTTTTCAATTGGGCATATCTAGTATAAAAAGATTTGTGTCCTTTCTAGTTATTTTAACATTTTTGGTGCTTGTCAACTTAATTTTTTAAAATTGGCTTTGATATATTTTTATTCCAATTGAATATTCTTGTTTTCATTCTCATATTCATTCTCCTTATTCTCTTGGCTTTGCATTGTTAGGGATCCAACTCGGGGCCTTGCCGTGCTAGGCAGATGTTCTGACACTGAGACACACCCCTAGTCCACAAACAGCCTTTTCATGCCTCACTCTGTGCCCTTGGTTATGTAACCTTTGTCTTTTTAAGAGGGCTCCTTTTTGCTATCTAAGCTCCACACTCCAGAAAAACTGGCTCTTTCCTTGAGGAGAAGACCTGGAAAGGTAGATTCCTTTAAATATCCCGGTCATGGAGCCTTTGGGTAAAGCATCTTCAGGCTCCAGGGTGCTTCAGTTATCCATGCCAATGAACCCAGTGCATCTCCAGGAGTCTCTCATATGGGTTATTCGGTGTGGTGGAAACTCCTTTGTTCTAAACCTTCCCAGCAACCTACTAAACAACAAGTCAGGGGGAGCAAGGAGTTAGCCACAGTCCACAGCAGACAAGGAGCCCTGGCACGTCCGGCAGCATGTTCCCCACCAGCCCTTCATCTCTGTGGATTCCACCACCAGGGGACGAAATAGGTGATGGAGTTTTAATTGTCTCCTCCATCTCCTGGATCAATAAGATCAGACATGGCTCTATCCTGTCTGAGTGTGAGCTGAGACGGAGCTTGTTGTTTGGAAAATTAAAAGACAATGAGTGGAAGAAACTCTGGGGTCTCGAACCAACCAAGACCATGGCAGTGGAGATGAACTAGGCGATGCTTGGAAGGGCACCTTTTCTTCAGCTCCCTGGCACTGTGCCAACTCTCCCCAGCTGGACGCTCGGAACACACCTGGATTCCCTCAGCAAGCCTTTCCAGAGGACTCAGGGCATTCAGGATTATTTTCGCTGGTGTCTACAGGAAGTTGCCATTGTGGAGGCCAGCTGTCGTGGTAAGGCTTGCCAAGAGTGATTCTGTTTGGAAAGTGCAAGACCAAAGTGGTGTCTTTCTTACCAGTTTAGAGAAGGAGGAAAGGGAGGAGCCTCCTGGCATGTGGGTCCCACGGTACACAAGCCAGAGAGGTTTCCCAGGTGAGAATAGAACTTATCCACCTTTGGACTCATCTCCAGGGCAAGGAAAAGGTTTTATAACCACTGGGGAATTTTAATCACAGTGAATCCCAATGTCAGACTTTTGAAGGCTAAGTACATAGTATAATGATCTATTTGTGCCCCTGCCTGCATACATGTGTCTGAAATATTATCATGCCGAAAAAACAACTAAGAAAAATGAGGTTAAGAGTCACACTGCCAGCAAATGACAGAGACTAGATTCAAGTCCCAGCCATTCCCAGGAAGAAAAATGACTCCTTTTCTAGCACAAAGGGTGAATTAAAAGACTGAGAAATGAAGAGTTTAATATGTTTGGGGGGAAGATCATACATTGTCATCCAGCTGTGCTATCTGTCTCGGATATTTCAGTTTAGGCTTATGTTTTCAAAGCACTGTGGTTTTATCTTAATGTTCCAAGAAATTTTAGTTAAATGTACCAGGAAGCAACAGAAGTCTGTGGGTGTTAACAGAGTGACTTCCCATAGATCAGCCTGCTTATGCTGCTCGATGATACTCTAAAGTATGGATTGTATAAGAAACCAAGGGCCCTCAAAAAGAAAACACTCTTACTCAAGATGATAAGAAACTGCTCTTAAAAGTGAGATCCAGGGACTAGAAAAATGGCTTGCTGTTCTTCTAGGAGATGGGAGTGCCGTTCCCAGCATACACTTCTGGCAGTTCACAACCTCCCATAATTCCAGCTCCAGGTGACCTGAGGCTCTTTGCAGCCCTGCGTTGGCACCTGCATGTACATGGACATACCCACACAATAGACACCCATGTGTGCATATTATTTTCTAAATGTGAGGTCTAGCTTTGTGACATAATACACAGGTCTCCTTGTCATAGCCCAGCTTCGTAACATGTAGCTCTGTCCTTTCTTCCTGCTCGCACTACAACCCAAACTGGCCATACCTTTAGTACATGTGCAGACATAAATAGTGAGAAAGAAAAGGAAGTATAATTTCAAACAAAGCCAGTCTCTTCTCAAAAGGAAAAGGCAGAAGAAGTTGATTTAATTGTGCAAACGTTAAACGTTTATACTGTCCAAAATTTTCAGTCCGGTCCCCTACTTGGGGTTGAATATGCGGAGATCACAGGACTGAGATCAACACAGAAGACCTCAATGCTGCTGGTGGACAAGCCAGGGAGAGTGCCTGTGTGACTGGAGGGTGTGAGAGATTGAGAATACTGGCAGGGGTGGGGGTGTGGGGGTGGGGATTCTAGTCCACCGGCCTCTGGTTAATCACCTAGCCATCTGAATGACTCAAAGGAAAAGGTGTGATGGGAATCCATATCAAAAGAGCAAGAGAGGAAGAGATGACCTGAGACAGCCAGGCTCTTCCATAGCCCAGGGCAGGACTTGAAGAAGCTGAGGACTGAGCCCTAAGGGAACAGAGGTGACAAAAGGAAGGCAGTGGGGGAGGGGAAGAAGGACATGTAGCCATGGGGATGGATGCATTCACTGGTGAACTGACATGACGGTTTCCAGATGCTTCAGGGTCTGGACCCTGGAATCTCTTCTGTGAGCAGAATTCCTGAGGTCCCAGCTGGAGGCAGGGCCTTGCTACAGCTGGCTCTGACTCCTCCCACATGGAAGTCCCTCTTCATGGAAAATGGTTGCTTCTCTTTTGCATTTCAGAATCTGGGAGGGGGTGGTGCTCAGAGTCAGCCTAAGTGGGGTCTAGATGAAGTCATGCCTGTGGCAATCTATGTGTCTTCCAAAAGTTCTCCATCTCTGAGTTTTCTAGAAAGCGAACAGCAGCAACAAAGCAAGCAAACAAACAAAAAACAGCAAAGGAGACTTATTTGCCAGTGATTCCCAACTCATAGAATGAGATTAGAATATAAAAGTCTAAGAAATACATTCTGTTCTTGGTGAGGATGGCTTTAGTCGGATGAGAGTGTTTTTCGTATTTTTCAAGGATGATGTCATAGTGGCTTTTGTCAACTTGACACAAACCTAGCCATACCAGGGGAGATGGAATCTCATCGAGGGAATTGACTCCATCAATTACTAATTGACGTAAGGGGTGACAGCATCCCTGGGTGACAGGGTGGGCCTGGGCTGTGTAAGAAGAGCAGTTTAGAGAGCCAGAGGGATGCTTTATCATGAAAATGAAATAAGAGCTCATAGAGACGAGCTACCAAGGCCGGTGTAGTCAATAGCTATAGAAATGAGCTGTTCTTTATACGCACACCTGTGTCATCGCGCACATTTGGTCTGCATTTGGTGTGTAACTTGCTTTCAAAATGCAAGTAGGACTTGACAAGCCCTTGTGCACCAGGGCCTGTGCCCTAGAATAATCCTTTCAAGTATGATGGTGCATGCAGCCCATTAGAGATAAGCGTTGAGCCAGCAGCCAGCACTAATTGCACACGTTAAGAGTGAGGCTATTTTAGACTATCTAGCATGGGTTAAAAAAAATCATGGCTGCCTGAGTGACACAAAATAAGACCATCAGAAGAACCATCCAGCTGAGCCCTGATTCACACAGAATTGAAGTGCGGAGAACATTTGTTGTTCTGTGGAGTGGATCATTACGCTACATGAGCTCGCTGACAGAGCCTGTGTCTGGGGCATCTCCTGGGACAGGCGCAGCGATACCCTTGTGCAGGACTGGGGCATTTTCACAAGCAGGGAGTTTTTATCTGAAGAGGCAGGGTCAGAGTATTAGACCAAGAGGAGGGTATCCAATGTTGTCCGCTTTTGCCCACCCTGCAGACTGCGACTTCCAGATCAAATGGATGGGGAAGTTGATTTTTGCCATGGTACCAGTAGATTGGGAGGAAAAGAAGAAAGAAATTGCATAGCAACCTGAGCGGACATAGCAACCTGAGCTGGACAACACTTAGTGGATCTGTACCACTGAATATAGGATGCTCTACAAAAATACAGTTATGTAATGGGATTTTCAGCAACACAGTGACTTCCCAGGCTACCCCCTTACTCTCTTAGCATTCCCACTACAGCTCAAGTAAGTTAAGGCACAGAATAGGAAAAGGACTTCACAAGAGATAGTCAGTCTCCCAGCAGATGCCACAGGCCTACCAATCTCAGTGGTGCTGAGAATAAACCGTCAGCTGATCCAACTTATGTCTTTAAAAATGAGGAATAGGCTCTCGGAAGATGACTCATGCCAGGCCACAGAGCTAAAGATGACCAAGAGGACATATGAAATTAAGTCCGTGGACTGTAACACCCTGTAGTGACACGAGACACAAGGCATGGCCTGAGTGAGGTCCAAGGCAGGAGTGGTATCATCTAGAGTTCAGCCTACTGATCCTTCCCCCCTTGATCCAGTTGTATATGTGGTCCAGCTGATCACCCAGGGCAGCCGAGGAAGACGTAGAATACACAGAATACAGCATGCTTTCAAACAATGACTTGGAGACTCAGTTGCCCAAAGGGTACATGAAGGAAGACCCCACCAAATTCCATTATGACACATCTGTGAACTCACTTCTAAGCCCTCCTTCTCCTGCAGTGTCCACTGGCCACGGCCATGGGAGAGTATTTGAGAAGCACTAATTGTTGGTGCCCCACTCTCAAAATCCAAGTGTTTCAACTCCATTTCTTTTGAGAAGTTCTTAAGTCCTAAAGGTAGAGGCCATAATAGGATGACAATCTATCGATAAGAACAGACGAGAATGTTTTCTCTCCCCCCACCACCATCCATCTTCCCTCTTCCCACTCTGCCCCCAATGCAAGAACAGGCAAAGGACTCCTCACCAAAGCCCCTCTCATTCTGGACCCCGCTCTCAGACTCGCAGCCTCCAGACTATGAGTGACAAATGTTTGTTTGTGGCTTCCCAGTCAACAGTATTCTGTCATAGCAGCAAGCGCTGACTGAGACGATATTTTACAGAATAAAGAAAATATTAACTTACGGCTTGAAGCACCGATGGGGGCTAGTGAATAATTTTGCAAAGCATCCTAAATGCTGATATAAGCATGCCCACTGAACTTAACATATAAATCTGTTTTTACTTGATAACCAGGAGGGGAAATGCTGGTTCTCTGTTTCTAACTTGTGTGAGTGGGCACAAATGATCGACATCAATAAGCCAGGCAATCAGGCTCCAAGTCCAAAGCTCTGCAGCAGACTCAAACCAAACCAAGTCAAACAAACAAAGAGGCACTCTGGATACAGCCGTGGCTGAGCTTGAATCCAGGTCTCCATCTTGTTCCTTGTTTGACTGGGAGTGTAAACGTAACCTCAGTTTCTAAGACTAGATTAATCGAAAACCTATACACTCCTCATTGGTCCTGGTAAGAATGAAAAGTAGGGTGCTTAAAGTCCCCAGCACAGTGCATGGCGTCCATGAGTGTTCAGTGAGAAACTAGTGAAAATGAGTATGTTGTTCATCCCACAAACATCTGTGGAATGTGAACTCTGCCAGGCAGAATTGTGTACGGGAAGGATCAAGAAATGCCCGCCTGGTGGAGCTGGCATCCTAGTACCTGGTAGCCCAGAGCACTATCATTAGAGGGGTCATGTCCCCTATGCTGTTAGAGAAGTCTTCTGATGTATCCTCACTTTAGAATCAAGGGTGGTTAGCTCCAAATTCCCATGCCAGAATGGGCAGATGCTCAACTATTCAAAGGAGGCCATAACCCACCATGGATCTCATAGGCCTGTCATCAAGCCCAAGGCCGTATCCGTGAGGAGTAAAGAGCCTGACCTTCACACCTCTCCTTCCACCTCAGCTCTTTCTCCCTTCTTGATTTCCAGAACTGTTCCCTAAACCTGCATCAAAACTATTCCCGAAGCCTGCAAGGACTAAGTCAGCTTAGCGGCATTACCCACGGTTTGCCACCAGAGGTCGCCCTCCCACACAAGCCCAGGCAAACAGAAGCTGCTTTTCCTCCCAGGCACCCGTGACATTATTTTCTTTCTCTATTTTTATCTATTAAAAAGATTTCCTCGCAGCCATAACTTAGATCTCTACACTAAAATGGAGCAACAGGAAGATATAACGGTGCATTTCATTTATGAATGACCTATAATAAATTACTCTGAAGTGTCTTGAGTGCCAGAAGACAGAACGCTTTGTCTGCCCACCGACTGTATTTCACATACTTTAATTTAGCTGACACATAAAACTCATTTGACATTTTGCAGGTATTTTTTTTTTTTTTTTTTTTTTTTTTTGCGGAGAAGGGTGTGGGGGTGGTAGAATGGGGACCCCTGTGGAGCTGGGCGGCAAGTGGGGTGCTGCGGGGATCTGGCGTGCTGGCTGCCAAAAAGGATATTTGGTTCTTGTTGAGGGTTAAGGTGTGCAAGTGGGGTAACCGTGGCAACACGAGGTCGTCACCGAGTAGATTGTTGTCTAAGATGAGTTCCTCCAGGCTCCTGAATGCGCTCAGTCCTTCCAGTGACCTGCGGTGACAAAAGCGGGGAGAAACAGTCCTGCAGTAAATCAGAGAGGCCATTATGAGCCGAGATAAATATTTTAACCTTCCCTTTCAGAACTGGGAATAGTTTGGGCTTGGTGCCTGTCAGCGGAGTGAATGACAAGAATTAGTAGCAGGGAGCCCGGGTGGGGGCGGAGGGGGAGAAGGGGGCCCCCGCTGGCACTCACCGCATCCTTCACGAATTGCCAACATGAAGGATGAGGGTCAGTTATTGAGAAGCCAGGATCCAAAACAAAGGGCTTCAGATACGGCCTGCAGGATAAATTTGTCAATGTCTTGTGCCTTCAGGCACCCAGCCTGGGCTGACCCTAACCTCCATTCCCAAGATAAATAACTCTGTCACAGTTCACCTTCATTCCCTGGACACAAATTTAAGCTGTCATCCATCATTCCTGCCTAGAAATCTCATACCCCTCTTACAATAATAAATATAACTTCAAGTATCATTTCTTAGCCGTTCTCCTCTGTACAGTCATAGGGGAAATGGCCAGGAAGGGGCTTTTCTCTCCCCTCACATCCTCACGTCCGTGGGCTCTTGTTTTTCTCCTTCTCCCTCTATTTTTTTTTTTTTTTTTACTAATCACTTAATTTGCTCCCGCCTAGCATCCCCATGGCTGCCCGACAGGGAGGAATTACATAATCACTCCAGGCCAAGAGAAAGCTTTTTCTTCTTTCATTATTTCTTTTTACTTGGTTTTGGTTTTGTGTGAGGACAGGGGGCTGGGAGAATTTCTGCTTCAAAGCCCCTGGTCTCAAGTTCTAATTTATGGAAGGTGGATTTTTTTTTTCTTTCTTTAAGCGTGGAGTATAGGAACATAGATTTTGAGGCAGTAAATAAAAAGGATTAAGTATCAGCTTCAAAGACAAGAATGCTATGACAGAAAGGAAAAGGTGGTCCTGTTTACTCCTGTAGTCTGAAATTAGCCTTCCACATAAGGGGCTCTCGTGAGTGTCTGGGGTGGAGGGGAGCGTGCGAGGCGCGTGTGCACAAATGCTTGCCCAGGCACACACACACACACACACACACACACACACACACACACACGACCGTTAATTAAAGTGAGCCGAAGGTCTCAGGGCTTGCCGCCGACTCCGAGCTTGTTCACCTGCCAGGCCCGGGAGATGTGCTGAATTTGCACAGGCTGGGGCCGGCTGAGCCACGGCGTCCATGAAGGGAAGACACACACTCAATCCCTGGCTAGGCTATAAAGCACAGCAGATCAGGATGGTGTCCGACCGCTCTCCGTTCACTGACTGCACTGATGCTAAGGCCCTGTCATCTCGTGTGTGTTCTGGGTGTAGCGCGCAGGCAGTGACATTCAGCCTGCGGGCTTTCCCAAGAGGCCATGGCCCTCTGGTGGGCTTTCTGACAGAGGGAGTGAGTGCGGGTGGAGGAGGCCTCCCCTTGAGATGGGCGAGCCCAGAGAGCTTGCTCTCATCTGCAGGGCCTGTGTCTCACAGACCTTCATGTGGTCCCTCTGGCACTGGCTCCAGCACCCAGAGCACAAGGGCTCTGAAGTTAGTGCTCCCTGCTGCCCGGGGCCAACACAAAACCCTGAAACCTGCGTGTACTTTTGTTTAGGAGTCATCCCATTTCATAGGCTTCTGGAAGGCAAAAACAAACAAACAAAAACCAAAACCCCCTCCCTTTGGGGGCTTAGGAGTCTGCATGGGGCTTGGTCTGGCCTCCTCGGACTCCTTCCAGCCTGAACTGGGGCATACCGAAAGCCCGGCCCTAGGTGTCCCCTAGCTCAGAGGATTTCAGGAAGACTGAGGGGACATCTGTGTACAATGTCTGCCTCCTGCTCCTCTCCACTGCACACACCGACTGTGTCCCCAGTCAGTGTGGCCTCCTCCTGCCATCCACTGGTTTATCCCAGAAGCCATAGGGAGTGAGACACTGGAGGAATCATAGCAGGTGGGCCGATGAACAAATCCAGTGTGCAGGAATCCTTGGGCTCTCTAAAGCCCTAGGCTTTTCTCTTTGTTTGTTGTTGTTTGTTTGTTTGTTTGCATCTGGTACCCATAGATCCTTGGCTGGCCTCAAACTCATAGCCAAGGATGACCTTGAACTTCTGATCCTCCTGTTTAGACAAGTATTGGGGTTATGGGCATGTTCCACCAGGCCTAGTTGTGGGTGTCTGAGGACCAGATACTGAATATAAAATCAAGTTCTCTATCAAAAGAGCCACGAGTCCCTTTCTCCACGGGAGTCAGTGAACCAAAGTCCATTAACCACAAGTGCTGCAGGGCCAGGTCCCTGCTTGCCACGGGGGTGGGGGAGGGTGGTGTGGGGGTGGGGTAGGAGGTAGGGGGTGGGGTGGAGCTTCCCCTCCCCCCCTCCCACACACACACATGCACCCCACCTCCCATCAGGAAGCCTTCTGGGCAGCTAATAAGTTCTTTGTCCACCAGCATCAGATAGGCCCTGGTCAAGGGCAACATTCAGATACACACCGTTCCAAGTTATGTTATGTAAATACTGTATTTCTATCATGAGAATCAGCAAAGGGCTGGCCCACTGGCAAGTGAGCAGAGGAAAGCTCCCCTCCCAGACTGTTTCTGAGGCAGCATAAAACAAGAGGACACCCCATGAAGAGGGACAATGCCAGTACCCCACAAGGGCACTGCCCCCCATCCAGTCTGCTTCTTAGTCCCCACAATCCAGGCCCCATAGGGGAGGGAGACATCAGGGAAGAGTCCCACCAAATCCCCGGTCTCTGGCCTGCTTTCCAGATTCTTTTCTTCTCTGTGACGTTGTTAGTGCTCAGTAAAGGAAGAGCTGAGTTGTATGGGAGGGTGCTGACATATAAAGCCTCATGGGCATCATGGGCGTCAGCTCTTGGGAATGTGTTCCGCTAAGCAGAGAACTGAGGGACCGGAGGCAGGAGGCTCAGAACACCGTGAGGGAGAGGCACCAGCGAAAAGAATTTGTGGAGTTCCAATGGCACGTTGGAAGCCAGCAAACAGGCAGGCGAAAAGGACTTCCCGTTTTACTTTGAATTTTTTTCCAGTGACTGTTACAATTGTTGTTTTCCGAAAGAAATGATCAGGAAGGAGTTTCCTGCTACCATCTTTGCGTTCTTTTCCCCCACACCCGATTCTCACAGGTAGATATTCGCTGTTGTACAAAAGGACAAGGTTCAAAAAAAAAACAAGTGTGTCAAAGTCCAGGCACCGCACTTCCTTTGCCCGGGATGGCGCAGGTAGCTTACAGGGATGATAATATGGTCTAAGCTAATGTGTAAACTACAAAACGCACCCCCCAAAGTAAGAGCCTGACTGTCACTCTAGGGTTATGCCTGAGAGGTATGGGCTGGAGGGAGTCACTGGGGGTGGGGGGTTCTTACACTACTGGGAGAAACCAGCAGAGAGAGAATGGGGGCACCCCACTGAGGGCAGGGGGGCACCCAGGAGGGACCACTCCAGGGCAGGTGGTTTATTCTGTAAATCTCATCAGCCTCTCCAGATCAGGTTGCAGGCGCTTCCTTCCCTCTGCGCCAGTGGTAAAGCTGGCATGACCACACCCATAGGTGGCATCTTGGTCACCCTGCTCACTGGGCTCTCTGGGGGAGCTTGTGGTTGTCCTGGGAAGAGTCCTAGTGCCTTTTCCAAAGTCACATCAAGATGACAGAACCATCACAATGCATTTGGCTCTAGTGGAGGCAGGCAGAGGGAACTTTTAAGTTTCCACTGTAATTAACCCTATCCTCGTTAAGATAATTATGATCAAGCTTCCTGTCACAGTTAATATCCCACCATCATCGCCCGTGGCTCACACGCTGCCCTCATTAGCCTATAGAAAGAGGGGTGCTAAAGAGGCAGCCGGGCCCTGCCCGGGCTAGGCCAGCAGCTGGAGGCTCGCCCAGGGTTGGGGGCCTGGCAACACCTTCCTGATCTCTGCAGTTACTGGGGGGATGCAAACTCAGCCTTCTCAGCCTTTTTCCTTGGGAACTGGCCACTTGGGAGGATGGTAACCAGAAAGGCCAGGAGCTGGGGCTGGGGTGTCTGATCTAGACCAGCGATGCCCACTCCCCCTCCACACTCCCCTTTTGCCAGCACACAATCAGCAGAACACAGTGGTACCATGGACGTCACCAGAGATCGCTTCCCTACGCTCCTGGTGTCTCCTCAGCTTACAGGCTCCGCCAAGGGTTGGGTCTCTGTCCCCTCAGCTGCCAGTCTAAAGCAGTGGTGACACTTGTGTAGTGGGGACAGCCCACCGCAGACCTGTGTGAGGAGGACCTGGTCTTGGCTTTATCCTGCACCCAATCATGGCATTCCCAAGTCAGCCAAGGAAACCCCACCTCCGCTCACAACTTTACCTGCCCCTGCAACATAGTCATCCGAACATCCAAACCTGCACTGACAGATCCAGAGTGCATAGGCCGTGGACAGGCCAACGGCCTACCTAGCCCACATGCCCCAAACCTACCACATGCTCAAAACCTACCACCCAGGTCAACTGCCTTATCTTAAGGGCAAGACCTTATCTTCCTAGAACTCAGTCTGCCCAGCCCTGAGGTAAAGAAGGGAAGTTAGTGTGATTTCCACTCACCTGGATAGCTGTCAGGTTCACAGAGGACTCAGAGTTAAATCTTAGCCTATAAGGCTGCCCAGCCCAGAGCTGTGAGTCTAATCAAATAACCCTGAGAAGCCCAAGGACCAGGCAGGTGGCTAGCCCAGCGAGCTGCCAGTGGTGAGGGGGCAATCCCTGTGGGAATCCCTGTCTTTAGCAGAGGAAAGAGCGTGTACTCCTATACCATGCCTGAGACAAAAAAAAAAAAAAAAAAAAAAAAAATCTGAATACTTCCTTATCATCTTCGTAAACAGACTCACCTCGGAGACCCTCCCTATTATCTGGCCACTCTCAGGCCTGTCCTTCCACTGACCTATATAATCTTTATAATTTAGCAACCAGGTCATTGATCCCCACGATCACGGCATGGGGCCAGCATGGGGCTC